TACAGATATTGTTCGCTAGCTGCGCAGTCAGCGTCGACGTCAAGTGTTGCTGGGCGTTGAAGCGGCAATAGCGCGAGATTTCTTAGACGCATACAAGCAGCTTGCTGCAATTTTTTAAGCCGCAGCTTAAAACTGGTGACAACAACAAATGCAGCAACTACAGCAACAACAACAACAACAACAACTCTGCTCTGTTCTGCCTTTGACTGCAGCGCGCAGTCGACTCGAGTTGGATTTTGTAAAACTCTTTAGTGTGATTAATGTGCTCAGACACACACACAAACACACACACACTTACACTATGCAAACATACACACACACACACACACATGTTTGCTTCCTTTTATGAGCTACGCCTGTTCTGACCTGCGACCGGGACGTGCTCCTTACACTTTTCCTTTTCTGTCTTTTTTTCTCTTTCTTCTCTTCTCTACTCTTCTCTTTTCTTTTCTACCTCCTTGCAGCGCGTCGGGTTCGCCTTTTGTTAGCAAAACAAAAGCCACCCACATGCATCCACACCTATGTACATACATCTATGCGCAGATTTTGTTTGCTAGCACACTAGCACACCAACACACACACACACACACTCACACACATGTTTTCATAGACTGTCACGTAATCCTTTTGAACGCTGCTTTTATCGCGCTTTATACACTTTCCATGCAACTGGGGAAACTTGTTCATTAGGCAACGCCAAGCTTCATATGCAGCAAGTGAGTTAATGTTCTCTAGCTGGAATTTTGAGCTCTAAAGTGGGCTTAACACAGCTGACAGAGATTATTTATTGGGGCACTAGAAGTTGGGATACATATACATGGATGATGGGGAAATTTTAGAATGTTTAGCTTGAAGGTATGATAGTTGTTTGCTAAAGTCAAATAACTATGCATGGAGTGTGCTTGCAATGTTTATATAATCAATGTTCTCTTGGTATATTTAATATAAAAAGAGCCCTGATCTATTGAAAATATAAATACAACATGCTTTGCTTTCTAAAAACTTTGAAATTATGACTGAGCTCTGGCTGCTCCATGAGCTCATGGAAATGAGTATCTAAAATGGAAATATAGAAATATTTTTAAATGGGTTTTTTTAATGAAACTTTACCAGGTAAACTAAAAACGTAGATTAAGCAGGAATTTCTATTTAATTTTGATATATATATAACAAATGAAAAGAAATTTGATTTAAAACAGAATTAAACTGGAATTTCCTATATTTTTAAAAGTGAGTGAATTTAAGGAAATTAAAATATATATAAATATAAAAATAAAAAAATAAATATATTTTGAATAAGACGAAAATGAGGTAAATATTCATAAGAATTATCTGCATTAAAAAATATAATAAAATCAACACTAAAATGATCTACTATACGTACGTACTATAAATATTTGGATTTAATTATTAACCTTTTTTATATATGGAATTAAAAATTAAAATAAATTGAGAGAGAAAAAATAATAAAATTATACAAATTCTCAGTAAAAATTTAACTGAACTGAACTAAAATGAAACGAATAAAATTAAATTCTCTAATTTAAATTCGAACCAAATTCAAATTAAATAGCTTTCTTTATATCAACTCCCAGCATACCAAAACAAGCTAAATTTAAGAGCATTTAGCATTCGTTCGTTCGGGGCACTTAAAAATCCTTGCTTCTTTTTGGGTTTTTTTTTCTGTTGCTTTCCGTTTCGTTTTTGCTGTGTACCTGTTGTGTTGTTGTTGTTGTTGTTGTAAGCTCTGTATCTCATTATGCGTCAGGCTTCTTCCACTAGCCGTTGTTGTTGCTGTTGTTGTTGCTGTCTGCGTCTTAGGTTACATATTTCATATTTCATAGTCAGAAAACCGCATGGAAGGGCGCAACACACAAGGAGAGGGGCAAGTGGCAGGCGGGGCTGGCCCTGTTGTCACTTTCAACCCATCTGCGCCCTCCAATGGGGAACTGGCTGCACAGCGTTTGTTCAAGTGTTTTGCTTGCGGCTTTTGTTTTGCCCTACGGCCAGGAAACAGTCGCAGCACAGCAACAGCAACAACAACAACGACAGCAACAACAACAACAGCAACAGGCAACGGCTCTCAAGTGGTAGGACTCTACGGCAGCATAGCTCAACGTCATCGTCGTCAAAGGCAACAAACTTGGGGGCCAGCTGCAGAGACTGAGAGTGCTTGCTAAAGGATTTCATGTTTATTGCAAGTTGTATTTTTCCTTTTGCATGCCTGCTTATTAAAAACAACAACAAAAATGCTTAACAAAAAAAATGAAAATAAAATACAACAGCTTTAAAATAACTTTTTGTGTGGCTTCTTCGTAAATGCAACGTGTCAGTCGCAAGTTAAATGAGTTTCTCTTCGCTTTTTTTTTTTTGTTGCCTCTGCTTGCTTCACAGGAAGTTGTTAAGTGTTGCCCTGGCAGAGCCAGGAGGCAGCGGCGCATCTGTCTTGGTCGCCCTGAGCCTAAGTCTCTGTGCCAGTTACTTGGCCATAGCCTGCACAATGCGGTGCAGGGGCGCCACTAAATTAATTAAGCCATTCTCAATGAAATCGACTAAAATGCGAGGCGCAACTGAAACTGTGTCATGCCATGCACCAGAACCAGCAACGGCAACAGACTGGAAAAAAAAGATCTGCAAACAGGCGACTAAAACTCCAGACACGTACGCGCCAGGAAACCGAGTCGAGTCGACTCGAGTCGCGTCGCGTCGCGTCAGTTGGCCAATCCTCAGCACAAAACAAACTCTGTTTGAGGCTGTGGCATCAATTTTTGTCCAGTAGCCAGTAGAAAATGTCACGTTTCTTTAGCCACATAAGTTACAGAGCAAGAGCGAGAGAGAGAGAGAGAAAAAAACCGTGAGAATTGCTGCTGTTAAGTTTTTCCTGCAAAAACTACAAAAAAAAAAAGAATAGGTACTTTCCATGGTGGAAATTAATTGCTGGCCGTGTTATCGTCGTCGTCTAAGACACAGTCGGGCAAATTAATTGGAAAGCAGTGCAAAGCACACAAACCAAAAAAAAATTAAGTAAGATATCCAGAAGTAAACTAACAGCCAAAAAAAATTGAATCTACAAAATGAGCTACTCTATTAAACTACTCGCAAAAGCTTTTCCAACACTGTCCAATTAATTGAAACAAACAGCAAAGCGGTTAAAGTTAATGTAAAAAGAAAAGTTGACGAAAATGAGTTGAAACTGAGCAATCACAATTTGCTGCGCGTTTTGCAACACTGATTAATTGTAGAAAAAGTCCAAAACAGCTTAGAAACTGTACAAACTATCTAAAAGGAGCTCTGAAATGATCGATAATATCATTAGCTTTAATTGAAACTCTAGCCTTGGCATATCTGTAATCCCTTTTCCAACACTGGCTAGTTAAATGGAAAACTAACCAAATATACAGTCAGTAATTTGAACCATAACCAACTAATAAATAGATAAAGCGACATAATAAATGCAAAAACTTTCACAAAGAGCCTTTGCCAACACTGGAACATAAATTTCGAAAATTCAATTACAGCTTTTATGTACAGCACGAAATGTTTTATAACTTTAAGTGAATGCACTTTATGTTGCTGTTGTTGTTGTTCTACTTTTTGTTGTTGTTATTTCTAGGGAAAATTGCATTTTCAGCTCGTGTCTCGTAAAATGGTTTATGATCCGCGTTTTCCCGCAGCCATTGCATAAACTCAAGTCCGGTCAGTCCCTAGAAGTTCAGTCTATAGAAATAAAAGTCAAGCGTATGTTTTGGCACGCCCACACTAACGCCTATCTCAGTTTCTCTCACTCTCTCTCTCTCTCTCTTTCTGTGTTTTCTTGCCTCTAATTGCCAGCTAATTTAGTAAACGGTTTAGGCCAAACATTGCACCGAGAACTGAACTGCACAGTTCAATGGCAGCGCGTGCAGCGTGGAGCGTTGCCATCGTCGCATTTATGTGGGCTCATAAATATGCAAATATCCTTTAAGTACTTTTAATGTCTGGTCATTTGTTGGCCAGGCTTACGACGATGCCAACTCCAACGTCTGCCAGCTGCCAACTCCCTCTACCCAATGGCCTTAATGGCATGCTGGGCATTGTCGCCAGCGTCTTGGGGCATATTTACTTGCATCTCCCGGCTGCCTATGCAGTCACAAATGCAATTTCTATTCAGCTTTATAGGCACATAAATAACACCTTTACTTCTGAGCGTGTATCTGTGCGGCTTTCTGAGATTCTGTGTGGATTGTGCGAAAACTTGACGGATTTTTTGGTATATTCCACGAGGGAAGTCGATAAAATTCATGCTACATTTCAAAATTCTCCAACTTTTTAAGTTGGCCTCGCATATTGATAAGAACTCAGCTAAGAACATTACAAACATAAAATAAATAAATAAATACACAAATAAATAAACAAAACAATTTTTAAAAATAAATAACAAAAATTAAATCTAAAAAAAATATTTAAAAATAAAATATAATAAATAAAAAATAATAAACACAAAAATATATAAAAAAGTACAAAAAATACTAAAACTGATACAAATCATTCAAAATCTATACGTTCTTACCTAATAGAGTATGGCGAACTATTTGAGTAACCCGTGTAGAAAATTGTGCCAAGCTTAAATAAAACAGACATAGAAATATATATTGATTAGCAAATTAGAAAGACAGAATAGAGATAAACAAAAATAAATATCTGTCTCGCATATATACACAACTTATCAGCCAACCCTCGCAAGTAGTTATGCCCTCTAGCATAAGCTAACTGCCAGACCAGCCCCAGCATCTTTAAGCCTTCTACAACATTTATGAATATCATGCAGCAAACTGCTCAAACTACTCTCGCTCATAACTTAACTATCTGGGCATATGCCACTCTAGTATATGTAGTAACTCACGCAACTTTAAGTATTTGCTCGACCCTGGGCCAAGCCTTGATTAGGGCTTGCCATAAATATGCTCGTAAAAAATAAGAATAAAACCCAGTTTACTAATTAAAACACAACAAACTTGCAGGACTTGCCAAGAGGAGGAGGACAAAGAGCAGCAACAGCAGCGGCAGCAGCAGCAACACTAGAAGAAGAAGAAGAAGAAGACAGGACGCCAAGACCCAAGTAGAATTCGCACACTGTGGCCAGAACGACGAGGAGCAGCAAACCGAATGCAGTATCTCAACTACGCTCTGCAAACATCCACGCGACTGCTGACCAGCCACAGCCACAGCCAGAGTCCAAGTCAAAGTCAGAAACAGTTTGAGACGAAACTCAATCAGAATCAGCAGCAGCAGCAGGAGCAGCAGCAGGTACAGCAGGAGCAGCAGCAGCAGCAGCAGCAGAAGCACAAGCAGCAGCATCATCAGAATCAGCATCAACGTCAGCGACAACGTCAAATAGCAGCAATTGAGGCAGCAGCAGCAGCAGCCACGCCCATTGAAGAGCAAATAGCAAACGCCTGCTGCAGTCGTGGAGCCCAATTGCTGCGGCTGCGCCAACAGGAATTGCTAAAGCGACGCGCGCTCGAATTGGAGGATCAGTTGAACGGGAACATTGATAGCTGGGAGAGCGACGCCAATAGCAGCGAGGAGGCCGAAGAAGGAGCGGTGGGTGGACAGCAGTCGGAGCAAACAGAGCAGCAGCAGGAGCAGGAGCAGCAGCAGCAACCAGAGCAGCAGCAGCAGCAGCAGCAGCGGCAGCAGCTGGAGCCGCAGCCGGAACCTGAGCCGCAGCCAGTCCAATGAAATTTACTCTCATTTAATGTTCAATTGGCGCGCAGCAAGCTGCTCTCATTCTTTAATCGCGACATGGCCGCCACCGATGGCCAAATCATATTGGCGGCATCCCGTTTCGGTGATGCCACGCCCGTTTATTTGCGCGACTTTTCCAAACAGCCGCTGCCGGCGGTGGCCAAAATACTCAAGGGGCAGCATCAGGCGCTGGGCGTGCCCACCCTTTCGGCGCCCTCCCTTCAGAGCACTGCGCTGTTCCTGAGCGCCGGCAAGAAATATCAGATATTGGCGCAGCCCATCAAGATCAAGGAGGGACGCAAGCCCACCAATGTGGGCGCTAAGGTGCTCATACCGGAGACCTATAACGGCTACTTCGAGCTGCTTAGCGAGGATGGCCGTTCGACGCGCTGCATCGACTCAGTGCTGGAGTTGGCGCGACGACGCAACGCTCGGGTCCTGGTGCGTGAGACGTTCCGTTGCCAGCAATTGAATCGCACCATTCACGCCGGCGAACTGCTGACCACCATGAACGATAACGGTAAATTTCTGCAGTGCCGCAACATCAAGGACGAGATCATCAATCTGCCACTCGATACCAAAGCCAAGTTCTCGCCGATAGCGCGCGAGGACAGCATCAGCGGTGTGCATACGGTCAAGAATCTGCTGCTCAAGCGTATGCCAGTGATTGTCAGGTGAGTGGGCCCAAGACGTAGATGAAGCTATATACATATATGGAATGCTCCTTGAACTTGTGAAAGGAGAGCATATTGGTTTTTATGCAATGAGCACAAGTTTGCTTCATCCTTGCTTCGGTTGATCTGCAAAGCTTTCGAATCTGTTAGAAACCTTCGTATATTTACAACTTTACTTTGGGTTTAAGTTGTTTAAAGAGAGTATATTGGTTCTGTGACATGTCCTGTGACTTAATGTCCTTCCGTCTGTCTGTCTGACTGGCAGCTGTTAAATGGAATTATGGAAATGGACTGTAAATGTATATGTGTATAAGCAATCTCCGATGATATGTAACGATTTTTATGCTCTCTCAAACTGTGCACGACGAGTATATTAGTTTTCGTTCAATGAGCACAGTCTTGCTGTCCTGCCGTCTGTCTTCATTTCTATATGTACTCTTCCCTTGACCCTTCCTTCCCTGTAGTCTTCATCGATATTCATTCAACTTGCCAAGAGAGAGTATATATATTAGCTTCTATTGATTAACCTCAGTCAATACAGTCCATTCGTCCGTCTGACTCTATGTGCTGTCTAAAAATATGAGAAAACCCCCTACCAGAGTTTAGGGAAATCAGAACATTACAAGATCTTCCACAGATATACAGCTAAGAACTCTTATTAAGCAGTCGGTAATGCTCGACTGCAGCGCCTTTACCTCTTGCAGTCTAACCTCTATAATGCTCTCCCTTCTCTTCTCTCTCTCTCTCTCTCCTGACCCTCGGCAGACTCGTTCACGGCAGCGCGCCAAAGGGTCTGAAGCAGCCGTTTGTGCCGGAGCTGCGTCTGCTGGGCTGCGTGGAGATCGATCGGATCTTTGCGCTGCCCCTGCAAAAGGATACGGATTTGGTGCCGGTGCCGTTGAATGCAAAGATCAAGCTGCAGCGTGCCAAGAACATGGAGCAGCTGGAGCACTTTATTGAGTATACGCGCTTCCTGGACAAGGCACAACGTCTGCTGGCCGATGCGCGCGATCGCCTGCAAGTTGTTGATCTCAAGCTGAGCGAGAAGGAGAAGAAGGACTCCAAGTTCAGCAGTCGCAATGGCAGCGGCAATCGGCTGCCCATTGTCATGCTGCCATCGGCCGCGGGCCTGGCCAGCGGCTGGCTGGAGAGCGGCTATGTGTTGCGTAAGAGCGCCAGCTGTGATTCGTGGTCCAAGCAGCATCAGCTGCAGCATCAGCAGCAGCAGCAACAGCAACAGCAGGCGCTCAACAGCAATGAGATTGCCGAGGAGTACAACGAGATTGATCACATCTATGATTATGTGCGTGGCCTGACACCGCTCTCGAAGGGTTTGGCACGATTCGAACCGATTTGCGAATCGCCTACGCTCAAATCGCATCATACGGACAGCAGTGGCAATGGCAACTATTGCAGCCTGATACGCGCACCGATTGCTGCAACAACAGCAGCAGCAGCACCTCCAGCACAGCAGCAGCAACAGTCGAACGGCAACATCAACAACAACAACAACTACAGCAGTCTGGAGTCGAACAAGCACAGCAGCAGCAATGGCGGCAACACACATCATCATCAATATGCAACACAACAACAACAGCAGCAGCAGCAGCAACAGCAACCACACCAACAGCAGCATTTGCTGGTCAATCACTATCATCATAGCCATAGGCAGGAGGACATTAAGCCCGTGCCGCCGCCCATCGAGACGATTCCGGGCAAAAAGCCAGCCGAGAAGCGACAGCGTCCCACACTACCAAAGCTTTACATCAAGAATGCGAATGCGAATGCGCATAGCGCCGGCAGCAGCAGCAATGGCAACTCCACTGGCGGCACCAGTCACAGTCACAGTCACAGCCATAGTCACAGTCACAGTCACAGTCAGCAACATTTGCCGCCAACGCCCAATAATAACAGTAACAACAACAACAACAACAACAATACAGCTGCCATTGTGGCTGCTGCAGCGATCAATGCACATCACGCACACTCGCATGGCCATCCACACACACACACGCACGCACACCCCCATCCATTGCCACATCCGCACCCACACCACGGCAAGGTGCTGACGCCCAACAATCATTTGCCTGTTAAGGAATCGCTGGAGCCGCAGTCGCCGCTGTTTCATATCAGGTAAGTGAGAAATGAAGGGGAAGAAAAAAAATAAAATTAAATAAAAAATATGTATATACAAAATATATTAAAAAAAAAATTAAAATTTTAATAAATAAATAAAAATAAAAATATATATAAATCAACATATATATAAAAATGTATTTAAAAAAGTAAATAAAAAAATATATAAGTAAAAAAATTAATATTAATATTAAAAAAATAAAATAAAAAAATTAAATAAAAATACAAAATATTTAAAAAAAATATATATATGTATAAAAAAATAAAAAAATCTATAAATCTAAAAAAATAAAAATAAATAAATATATAAATCACTCAACTTAAGATTCCCATTGCAGTTTAAATTTGTATATGGTATATTAAAATAGCAACAGTAAACCAAAATTGTCTAACATCACACTCCCATATTTGCCTTTATTTTCGGTTCTACCCAGATACAAGAGCCTCAGCAGTCTGCAGTTGACGCCCGATAGCAATACAGCGGTTATGACGCCGCCGATCTCAGCCAAGGCAGCGGCAGGAGGAACAGTTGACGCCTGCTCACAGACGCCGCCCGATGTGGTGCTCAAGTGCAGCAGCATACTGAATACCCATGGCTACCTACACAGTCACAGTCACAGTCACAGTCACAGTCAGAGTCAGAGTCACAGTCACAGTCGCAGCTCGAGCAGCAACAATCATCATAATCCGCGCGAGGGCACACTCGACTCATCGCGCAGCGGGGGACGAACGTCGGGCGATTCACAGAAGCAGCTGCCGGAGAAGAAGACGCGACGCTTGTCACGGCCGCGCAGCCTCTCCAATTTGGTGTGGGATCTGCGGCCGAGCAAGGAGAAGTCCAAGAAGAAGCTCTATGTGCATCATTTCGATCAGCGTCAACAGGCGACGCTCTATCTATAGGAAGTTATGATGAGAGAGAAGCAAACTGAAGTGAAGTAAAGTGAAGTGAAGTAAAGTTGGAAGAAGATTCGTTGCCAAATCGTTTCGCTGCCATCAACGACAAACCCACAGACAACAGACAACAAACAACAACAACAACAAGCAACATTTAGAGCGCTGTGTGTGTTCCCGCAGGTGAGCAGGCCTCTAGTCGCTAGCGGGTTTCGGGTGGGAGGGGAGTGGAGGGGAGGCGTGGCAATGCAAATCGTGCTGGCCCTCTGATTGTTTTGCTTATTAAATTCGTGCAGCTTAAAAACTTAAACTAATTTCCGCTCGCTCCTTGCTATATATCTCTCTCTTTCTCTCTCTCTCTCTCTCTTGCAGCTTTCACCCAGATTTTTTTTTCTATTTTTTGTTTAGAGCTTGCAGCAGCAATTTTTAATTAATATTGAATTGTGCCTTTCCCTGCGCCCAGAACTATGCTTTAAACAAGAACAAAAACAACCAAATTCCATTCAAATATTTTTCAAGAATATTTTGCCTGGATGCACGAACGACAACTGAGAGCGAGACAGAGAGAGAGGGAGAGAGAAAGAGAGAGTGGGAGAGCGAGAGAGATGAAGCGTGAGAGCGAGCGGAAATTATTAAAGCAGTTGAACCAAACAACAATATAATCACATGAAGCGCTAACACACACCTACATACACAGACACACACACACCACACCTACACCTACACACACACATCAAGTCTATAAAATTGTGATTTTAATTTTATGTTTAATTTAATATTATGCGACACATTTAGTTAATATTTTTTTAAACGATGCGGCGATGAGCGATGGAAAACAAACAAAACAAAAAATAAATAAAAAACATAAAAAATATACTAAAAAATAATAATAAAAACATATATAAACAAAAGCCATTCAAAAATTTGCTGTTGCTTTTAGTTTCGAGTCGAAATGGCAAAAATAAAAATATATTAAAAGAGAGTAAGCTGGAGAAAGAAAAAGATAGAGCAGGAAAAGGAGATAGAGCGTAAAGCAGCAATATCAAAATACACACAAACACACACACACACACACACGTTTATAAACAAAGAAACACATACACACACATATATAAGTATATTATATAGTTAAGCAATATATATATATATATATATATATATTAAATATCGCGTACATTATTTAACTAGATGAAGTTATGCAACAACAGCTGCAGCTGCAACAAGCAACAAGATTTATGCAATTTTTAAATAGTTAAACAATGTATTTAATTAATTTCTCCTCATAATTGTTTGCAATTAATGCAATTGAA